GTTAGATTTTTATATCTTCAAAGGGTATATTAAGTTGGCACGAAGTTTGTAACACCCAGAAGGAAACGGGACAGATTCTATAAAATATATATACATATAAATGATCCGCTTGACAAGCTAAATCCCTTTCTCCATTTCCAACTGTCTGTATATACGCGAAGTAGTCCTTCAGATGTCTCTCTATGTCTCAGATGGACCATCCTTTGGGTTCAATTTTCGATGACTCATTCGAGCATTTCGACTCCAAGACGGGAATTGAAGCAGGAATGTCGGCGTATACTTTAAACTTAACATATCTCCACAGGCAAGAGTCTAATGCTTTGTCGCTTGAGAATGTCGAACGGCTTCAATTTTACCACAAGCCGTATTTTGTATGCTTTCAATTTAAAATCTCGACGTAAAATGCATCAAGTCGTTCCATGAAATTAGTCTGATTCCTTACTTTGGTATAACCAACACACATATAGGAAATTAGTGGGCATTTTTGATATTACCTACCAGCACTATGCGCCACCGATAAACCCACCGACATCGTGCTTCACTTAGCCAAATGATTCCGCGCCACAAAATATCACGCAAGCACGGCGCACGTCCCATATTCGCCCATTTTCAAGAGCGTGCAGAGCATTTCAATATTGTTAAACCCGACATAGTTTGCCAATAAACTTGCAACTAAGTGCGCGTACTTGAAAATTCCTTTGTCGCATTCGCTATGCAGACGACCGAAAGTAAATACTAAGTAAGTGGAAGCTGCAAATTGGCGCATCCGCCAAACTGAAGCTGCATGGCCTGTTCAGGCGCTTAAGTGAGCCAACGGAAATTGCTGCAATAATAGGACACATTTTCACACTTTCGACTGGTTTGGCATGTAAATGGCTAACATGGCGATTCACTCGAACTACAAACTATTCCAAAATACATATTGTCCACACATACACACGTAGCGAACCATTTAGCTACTCTCCAAATACAAGTTACTATCACTTTGTGTCGATGCTTGAAAGTTCATTTCTGGAAATGTATGTATGTATGTATCGTTGTACTGACATATGTAAATACACACACTTCGGAATGTAAGCACATATCTTGCTGGCATTCAAGTGCCATAAACTAAATATTTTCTTTTTACAAATAACATTTTGTTTTGTGCTGACAAATGCTCAAAGCAAACAAATGGCGGCCTTGAACTGAATTGCCCGAAAGCAGTGTTGCCTTTCGATAATTGAAGGCATTGCAGACTCACTCAAATGCAGTTCTTTATATGTCGCGCACCTCTCCGTATATTAACATTGCATTACCTTTATCACCGCCGTCGGCATTTATTTAGCGAAATTTTCCTAGTTTTTTTTTTTTTTTTTTTGCGTCGCGAAAAATTTTCCTCTTTTGAACCTCCAGTAGTCCATAGTAAAACGTTGGGATTTTTGCGTGGGCTCTTCTCTGCATTGTCCAGCCGTTAAACTGCCATATGTCAATTAACTCTGTTAATTATTTTGTAAGATATATGGAAAATCCTTTTATGTACATCCGCATAACGGAACGGTAGCGGCAGGGTGTGGCACCTTTGTGGGAGAAGTTAACGCACATCGCGGATTTGTGGCATTAAAGGCGCCGGAAAGAGTTTTAGCGAAAAATTCACTAAAAACAAAGGTATATAAAAAAGGGTTTAATTTTTAAAAACATGAACTAATTAAAAACAAGGGAGATCACATGTTCGAAATATTCAAGTTTTCGAATACCCATGAAGTATAAGTTAATATATTTTTATACACTTAAATTCACATTTTATTGTTGTTTCGTATAAACAATATTAAACATTACGAAAATCTTCTCCTGCCAGTTCAGCTTCATGTAGATTTGTAGGAGCAAGGAAAATTAAGAATAACCCTTTAATTTGTAAGTTTTTCTCCCTTACAAACGATATTATCTTAAAAACACCAAATTTTAGAAAAACTAGAATAAAGATCTTCTCTAGAGCAACTCTGTAAAAATTTCAACTATTACCTCCCAGAATGCCTAAAAGATAGGCACCAATTTCGTTTAATGTAAACGACTCCTTGAACGTAAAATACGTTTTTTTTTTTTTTTTTGTTGATTTTTGAAGACGCATTTTATTTAATAAATAAAAACGAAATCATTTTAAAAATTATCGATCCCTTTGCTTCGTAACTGATCTCTAGAAGGAAGTCGAATGACTAGTAAAAATTTAGATTTTTGACAAATAGTAGTTGTTCTCCAAAAAATGGTTTTTTTTTACGAAAAATATGTACAACTCCGAGTGATTTAGTTTTTTGTTTTGTAAATTTCAATATATTTGAAATTTAATTATTTTTTTATATGTAAACAGATCCACATATAAAAAACGATAATAGATAAATGAATTAAAATCCAAATTTAAATACTAATTAAATTGAAAAGGAAGTTCTAGCGAGTGGTATCTTTTCAATCATCTACGTTGTAAACTATTGCCCAGCAGTTGAATTTTCATGATTCTGCTTTACAGTAAACAACTTAATATCCTGATGAAGGACATTGTAATCTTCAGACTGAGGCGGGATGTTGGCCTAAGGAGCTAGTAAAGCTGCGCTACTTTAATCATAGCTGAGATCTATTTGTTTTTACATGATATTTCCAATTACGCCTCTTATCAGTTGTAATCCCCACATTTTTTGTGCATGTGTTTGTTGGTAACAACTTACCATATAAAGCCACTTGAGTTCAATTTTCGTGATTGTGGATATATACTACTACCGCGGACTTTTAGGTATTGATATCAATGTTCCATTTGGCGAGCCACAGTTCTCGAGCATTCAGTTGCATTTGCCGTTTTCTGGAAGCAGATGCCAGACTTTTTCAAATGCTTGGCGGAAATGCAGGAGCAAAACAGAACAGTATTTATTATTTTCAATAGCATCAGTGCTAACCTATTACATGGTTCAATTGTGCTTGGAAATTTTCTGAAGCCAAACTGAAGATTCAACATAAGCTGTTTGTCTTCCAACACCGAAAAAAGCCTATGTAAAAATATTCTTTCGAACACGACAATGTACATAATAAATTTAGATTGTTTGAAAAAAGGTGATCACTACTTATATTTGATTTCAAAATTTCAGAATGCTTACTTACTAGATCGAGATATTCAAGGTGCGGCTCATTTTCCTACTTTGGAACACCCTACTCATTACTTATTTCTTTTTGTTTTGAATCAGCATTGAGAACACGTCTCTTACTTTTTTCTTAATAAAGTTTCACTTAAGTGGTTACTAGGGTAAAAAAAGATTTTCTTCAAGAATATCTTTCTCATATAAAAAATGAAATACAAAACTAGAACATTGTGACGCCATTTCCCGTGACCCCTCGGAAAAAAGATGCGCCCGCATTAGCAGGATAACCTCTTACAGGATCATCTAAAGTGAAAAAATACGTGATTAAGTTAAAACCTAAGCTTTGAAATTGGAAAAAGAAAAAAATGAAAGTTTTGGCGAACGCGAAAATTTTCTTTTTCAAATAGTTGTAATCGAAGAAAATGAAATTCGTCCAAGTCAATAAGAATTGTATAATATCTCAAAGACTTGTGCAAAATTTCATGAAGATCGGCTTAGTACTTCTCGAAAAGTCTTCTCACCACTCTTCTGAAACCCAGTTTCGAGAAAAATGCGTTTAAGACCGCGCACTTAGATCAGCTAGCCTCGAGCGCACAAATTCTCTACAAAACTATTACTAGGATCAATTTTACACGACAATATTCTAGAGATATTATAGAATTAAATAGGATAATAAATGAACGTGCTGAATCATTTTCCTTGTTGGAACATCCTACGCAAGACCTCTAGATATTGTTTCTGGAGCGAAGTAATATATTTATATACAATTGTGCTGAGGATAACCTAAAAATGTCAATGTGTTCAATTTTAATAAAGAATGTTCTATGAAACAATTGTTAACCATTTTTCTTTATTTTTCTATTTTTCTTACTTTTATTATCTGACCCTTAAATACGATTGCTAAAAACAAAAAAAAGAAACAAATGTGTTCTTTTAAAAATGAAAACGCAGTCATATAATACATATGATTATAGATACAAAACAAAGAAACCGTAATATATTGTATTTAAATTAGCAAGCCCCTCTGACCATCTTCGTGCATATTGGAAACTCATTAAAGTCCAATCAAATGTTTACATAATATTCGAAAAGAATTGTGGATATTGCGAAAGAAATATGCGTATGAACAATGTGAACCGTGATTAGTGTGCCAAATACTATTTTTGTGGTCGAACCAGCCAAAGGACCAAAGAACGAAACACTCTACAAAATGCATGCTCATCTACAAATACAATGTACAGTCGGGGAAAAAAATTCTGAATAAGCAATATGTTAACATGAGCGTTAGCTGATAGATGCTTTTGACGAACTAGCATGTACCAACAACAACAACGCGAAGCGGCTTAGACCAGGTTAATAGGCAAGGCAGACAAGGCAATATCTGTCTGCGCCAACGAAAAGGTGGCAACATATAGTTGCAGTAACTAAGTAAACAGTCGATACCTGCTGCGACTAAATCCACGAAACGTTAAACGCGGCGACATACAGCTGCAAGGGATATACCACGGAGCCATATATGGTACCTGGAATTAGCACGCACACTATGCGTCCGATGAGTTGTCGCAGACAATAGAGCTACTAACAACAATGTGCACCTTAACAATGTAAACGCAATTGAGGAAAATGTAAATTTTGCCAAAATAAGCGGAAAAGCGAAAATTCCAAGGTTAACGATATTTGCTTTTCCATGAAACTGCCTTAGTGTCAAGCGTCGCAGGCAGGTAAGAAACGATTTCGCGAAACCTATGCGACGCGGCTGTCAAAGCCGCCAAAGGCAGCGCTCGCTCACACATTACCTCGCGCAGGTAGGTCTCAAGACTGTGGCTTCAAGGTATAAATACCCGTACCACTGCGTAGGTCAGTCATTATCGAACGAGCAGCGCATGAGTAGCACACGCATTTAGGAAGAGAATTTACTTTTTGCAATTTCAAAATATTAGTTTTAACAAAATGGGTTGCACAGCGAGCAATTTTTCATACGACACTAGTTTTGACAAAGCTATGCCTGTCCGCTCAATACCGCATAAACGTAACTTTAGCAGCCGCGTCGACTGTACCGCCAGTAGTGGACTCTCTACGGAGCAAAGCAGTAGCAGCAGTAATACATCGGAACGTTATAGCAGTGCGAGTACGTGGAGCAGCTGTAGCACGCCACCCCCACCAAGAAGCTCCTCCACACCAACCAAAAAGAAACAAATTCTACAAAAACGACCAGCTTTCTTGAAGCTCTGCCGCAAGGACATGCCGAAAGCGCTGGCGCGTCTAACCCTCAGCGACAAACAAAAGCCACAACAAGAGACACCGCCACCAGTGCAACACAAACGCATAACGGAACATTCCATTGGCTACTTCACTGGTTCCACTGATGATTTGGATAGCAGTTGCAGCAGTTTCAATTACAATGACCTATTATTACACACAAAGGACATGAACCCATCAAGTGATATGAGCAGTACTTGCAAACAGAGTGATTGTGACAGTGTCACCTCATCGGAGCGCAGTGACAGTCAACCCGTTTCGAATTTAAAAATGGAGATCCTAATGATGCGCGAGAATGTGCAATTAATGCCGAAGACTTCGTCGCCATTTTGTACACGCCGCGATTTGTCTTCGTGCAGCAGTGGAGTGAGTTATGTGAACATTGCGCCGCCCTCGGATACTTATTGCCTATGGCGCCAATATCTACAGGATGCACCAGCCTACTCATTTGGCAACGTCACCGCCATACCCGAAGCCATTGCCGGCCAATTTAGTCCAGATGATCATCCGGCTTATACCAAACTGCAGAATTTCGAATGTGTCAGCGCGCCAAAACGTTATCGTATACATCCCAAAAAGGGCAAGCACGCCGCGACTAGTGTTCCACTAGCTGCGATAGTGCCTGTTTGTGGCGTAACAGGCGCCATCATCTCGACTGAATTGTGAACACGCGACTCCGCTCGACGCGGAATCGTCGTTGTCTCACAGACGGTGAGCATGGATAGATAAGGAGATGAGTGATGTGACGATTGATCTTAAAGGATTTTAAAACTACCTCAATGTGCCTTTTTATGCTGTGATTTTGGACTATTGCTGGCTGGAAGTAACTGACAAGACCAAATATGTTTTAAATATATTAGATTTAATGTATATATGTATATTAATTTTGTTTGGTTTTAAGTGTTACAATATATATGAAATTGAAATATTTTCTTTATACAAATATTTTATGTTTTAATTAAATATTTTTTTTCTTTTTGTTGTGCATATATTTTATAGCACTTCATTATTAGGTAGATAAAGTAAATTTTACTGGTCCTAAGTCAGGTCGAACTCTTTTGTCCTTACTTTCCATAATCATCGATATTATGATTTATATTTTCTTTCTTTTCACAATCACGAGCAGATCCAAAAGTTCCAAGGATTGATCCAATGTTCATGCAGCTTAGTTACTACAAAAGTAACTAACTCGTCCTCCGTTCATTTTCTAGATTTTTAAAATTTAGTGATCGAAAAATTAATAATAACCACGTAAGGATTTCGATAAGTCCAAAAAAATAAAAACATAGATTTATAGCGAAATCGATAGCTTAGAGTTTACACCGTATGGCGTTAGATTTTTAATGACTTGAAAAGTCATTGTATGATATGAACCACTGCGGTCAATAATCTACAATTTTTTTCTTCAGTATATGGAATTCATGTTAAAGCTCATTCAATTTTATTAAATATAGCTTAATTAGTTTTAAAAATAATGGAATTTAAATGCTTAAATGCATCTTGCTGAAACCACACAGAGTTGAAAGAAATTCTCATTCGTCGTAATTCTCAATAGAAAAACTCTCTCAACATGCTCAAGTAATGGTCTCCAGTAACCGTGACGGTGTGACTGTTTTCTTCGAAGAAGTAGGACCCGACAATGCAGCGTGATGAAACTGCACACCACACTGTTACACGAAGTGGACGCAATTCCATCTCATGGAGTATCTGTGGGTTGGAAGCACTCCATATTCGACAATTTTGTTTGTTTATATTGCCGTTTGAATCGAAATGCGCCTCGTCAGACATGAAAAGACAGTTCAACATGTTTCCATCCATCGAAATGGTGGAATTTGAAGCATCTTCTGGAAAAATTCCAAGCGAATCGGCAAGACTGTCTGCTTACACCCATTTGAGCAGATAAGCTTCTTGTCGAAACACGTGGATTGTTTTGTATGGCAGCAGCTACAGCAGCGATTGTTTCCTCCGCTTGTTGTATTTGTTTGAAAATTTGTATTTACCCAATGTTGAGATCTCAAGTCATCAATTTGGTTTATAACCAAAATAAATTAAAATTATAATAACAATAAATTTTTTTCCAAAAATTTCAGAATTTCTTTGTTAAAATGTAGTGTATACTTGTAAGAATAATAAAATTGTAATAAAGTATTTAATTTTTTATATGAGAAATAATTGGAGAAAAAAAGACTGCTACACGAAGAAATCCATGCAACCACTTAAACATATAAAATATTCGAAATCTTTGACTTTTTACTCATTGGCACGAATTCCTTGTTTTTTTTACGATTTTTATATTCTCTTTAGCTTCAAAATAAAAATGTAATTTTGTCAGATTTTCAAAAATTCAAAAAAGCTTGTGTCTAGTCATAGCAGGGTGTAATTTGTTTGGATTTCAGTTCTGATACTGAAATCTATAGTCAAAAGTTCAACTATGCCGCACTGGCAGTAATACACTCAAAAGTAAAATTTTGACAAAGAATTTGTTTTTTTAGTTTGACGTTTAAGAAATTTGAATTTTTTTTAAAACAATTTTGCAAATAAAGCATGAGTTTTCAATTAAAACTTCTATGATATCTTAAAAATATATTCCAAATAATAAATTGTAAATTGCATATGAAGGTTGATCCATTTCGAGGTTACCTACTTCTTTAACCCTCTCATGCCCGAATTAAAATAGGCGGAGCTAAAACATTTTTTACGACAGCCGTAACTCAAGTAAAAAGCGATAAAAACTTCAAAGTCCTTATTGTCCTGGTACGTTAGTCTAAAGCCAACAGCACTTTTACAAAATTATTGTAAACAAACGAAACACTTTTCCAATGACTTATTTTTAATTTAATAAGTATCTTACCTTTATTTATTTATATTGTTCCATTGATTTTACAATAAAACCGCTATTTTAATTTTTTTAAACACTTTTTGCGTAAACGCCTTCTTTCGCGATCTTGACAATTCGCAATCTTGACTATTTCAATCTACGAAAAACGCCTACTGAATGAACCCTTGCATAGCTTACAATAGAACAATTCGCTGTCAGCTTACACAATACACCAGACTAGATAATCCAAAAAACCACGCGTCAAAAAAATTTAAATACAGAACTTAGAAGCATATACGGGAAAGATTTAAAGAAAAAACACAGAAACTTCAAGTTTAACGAAGAATGTTAATAATCATACGAACGAACATTCATTGTTTCTTTCAAATGTTGGTCGTGGCTATGCCTCATAAGGTCCATCCGTTGAGTCCAATTTTCGATGACTCGTTCGAGCATTTCGAGCATAACTTACGGATGACATGCATTATGTTTTGTTCCAAAGTCTGTATCGAAATGGGATTGTGCGCATGGGCTTTAAACTTTACATGTCCGCCACAGCAAAAATGTTTAACGGTGTGAATACACACGATCATGGTGGCCAATTGAGCGGCCCAAAACTTGAAATTATCTGCTCATCTAAGTTTTTTCTCAACACATTTATTGAAGAAATATGGATCGGTAATTCCACCAATTCCATCCACTCTTTAATCTCTTCATGTTGTCCTTCGTTCCAAACGCGGTAATTTTGCTTCTTAGCCAGAAATGGAAATCGTCGCTGAATAAAATTAGGCTCGACAACGTCGGATCTTCTTGGAACTTTTCAAGAGCTTCAGTTCTTGTACAAGTTGTATTTTGTACGATTTCAAATCACGAACTCGACGTAAAATGCGTCAAATCGTTCTATACGTCAGTCCGAGTTGCTGCGATAGGCGTCGAATCTACTATCCACGGTCGCCGTGAACACTCTCAGCTACGGCTGCTATATTTTCTTCACTGCGTGCTGGACATGGTTAATTCGTTCGAATATGATCCAATAATGAATACTGGCCATAAGTTAAGAGAAACGCGCATAACACATTCTGTACAGAACGTGAATTTTCGAGGTAAAGATGAACGAATTGTAAATGTTATCCAGGCGTAAGTCTTTCGTTGATAATATACTAAACAATAGTGAACAAAAATAACATGACAGCTTGTTTTCAAAAAAGCCTATTGAGAAAATTACCTCTATTTGGATCGCCCGCTTTATTTGAAATATATGAAATTCGCAGCGGAAAGCACTAATTAGTCACAAGTCTCTTTCAAAGTACTTTTTATACAAAATTTTCAGAATTGCATTTCTATCCAAACAATTTCTGAAGAATATACAAAACTAACTTACAGATTCAATGATTTGATCTAAAATAATTAAACATTAATTTCCGGTAACTTATTCACTACTACAATACAAATCCTTCCTCTACTATTAAGCCAATTATTTCTTTATTTCCGCATCCTTCTTGCTGCATGCAATTCCGTGCTTTTATTGCATGATATCATCTCCTCAATAGCTTTTACATTATGACAGTAGCACACAACCATTCCATTTAACTGTAAATTGGCTATATTTCGCTGCAAGTGACGGAAATGAAAATGATAAAATAAAATATTTTATTTAATTTAATTAAACTAAAATTCCCCAGTAGGGAAACGCACACTGTAATAGAAACTACGAAAATAATATAACAAAAGCACAAACGTTTCGGGAAGTGTTGCGCAAAAAGCGGTCAACGTTTCCCCATGGAAGCTTAATTAATTATAAGCGCCGAAATGGAAAGAGAAAGAGGAAAGGGAATAAATGCCAAAATTATTGCCCCAAAGGAAGTATGGCCGAAATGAGCTGTTCATATATTTTATACACTACACTGACAAAGTACACACATACATAACGGTACAATAAGCCCACTTAAGAGAAACTGACCTTGCGCCTCTCATGTGGGAAAGAGATTTTATAGCTGTGGGTAGACAGAGAACACATTAATTACTCACACTATCGCCGTTATTGCTTCTCTCGAAAAATGCTAATTGAATTCGATGCGGGAAATACAATTAATTAATATTATAATTACAACTTGTATGAGGTAATTGCGTCGTGCATTACTACGGATTGTCTTCGATAGTTGATATTTTGGGTTAGAAAGCAGAATTGCGATAAGAGTGGGATATGTTTCTTGTGTTTGAATACTTTCACATAAAATATTATAATTATTATATTAAAAAATAACTTTGCAAATTTATTTACTGCGTGAATATACTTCAATGTAAATTTATAGTATATATTGGGTAGTCGAAAAAGTCTTTTGGTATTTCTAATCAAACTTCAACTTAATTTTATATTTTTAAATAAACAATTATGTACCACTTTGGTCAAGCACTATTTGCAATTTTTCCTAGAGACATTATTCCATCAGTTTAAAACTTTTCTGGTTTCTCGACGAAAAACTGCGATAAGTAATTTTCACATGCTTCCCTTGAAGCCAACTTACTCCATTAACGAAGTTCTGCTTTGACCGATGCAAATGGTAGTCCGATGGTGCAAGGTCAGTGCTATATGGTTGAGGCATCAAAACTTCCCAGCCAAGCTCTACTAGTTTTTGCCGACTTATCAAATATGTGTGTGGTCTTGCGTTGTCCTAAAGGAAGACGAAGCCTTTTCTATTGATCAGTTCTAGCCAGAACACGGATTAGTTTTCGCTTGCTTATTTCAATCTCATCAGTTGTTGACAGTAAAATGTAGAATCAATCGTTCGTCCAGGAGTATTTCATAGTAGGTGATTCCTTTCTAATTCCACCAAACACTCCGCATAATCTTTCGAGGCGTCAATCCTGGATTTTCGACTGTTACCACTCCCTTCAGAAATGGGTCGATTTTATTTTGTTTCAGAAAAGAATCGCAGATGTTATTTCTTTCCATTAGATTTTTCACAGACAATTCATGTGGTCCCAAACTTCGAGCTTATGTTTTGGAGCCA